AAAGGAAGTCTAGAAACTTTGTTATTAAACGTAATTAATTTTTATTTAGAAAGTGTCATAAAGATGTAATGTTGCTGGATGATATTGAAAATAGATAACAGAATGCCATCATGTGGTTTTGCCTTAAATTTTGGAATAAGGGATGTAAAAATAATTATAGTCATATGAAGATTGAGGTACAATGATAGTAATATACATAAATATATTTGATTTAAAACATATAACTTGATATGAATTTTAGGTGATGACTGGAAGGGATGCACGAAAGCTCATTGTAACCAATTGACAAACTCTTTACAATTTGTAATGGAAGATATTTTTGTGGTGTTTGTTGTGTTTTGTCTGTTTGTGTTTATTCAAAAATAAAAAAAAATATTTTTTAAAAAAAGAGAAAGTCTACAATAGTGACTGAAAAAAGTGAAAGTTTTTTCATCCTTAACTGGTGGCTGTTCTGACCCAGCCTTCGCAAGTAGTGATGTCTACTTGTGAATAAAACAAACCCCTTCCCCGGGCAGCACCAGTGGTGCAACCTTCTTGTTCTTTGGTTCTGTGCCTGTGCAGAACAATTTTAATTGGACTGCTCATGCGCGCGCAAAGTGTGCACACAAGCAAACTGTCAGTAGTGCCTGCCAGAACCCACCCCTGTTTATTTCCCAGCCAGGGATGGGCTAGCAGTCGTCTGCATCTGCCTCTCCCTGAGAGTTGGCTTATTGCTTTCCTTTGGTCTCCTCTCTTTTCCTCTCTGCACATACCAGAGGTGGGTTGCTCCCAGTTCAGCCCGGATCAGGCGAACTGGCAGTAGTGGCGGCGGGAGACTCTGCCCATCCGCCCAGATGCTTCTGCGCATGCGCAGAAGCGTTGAGGGAGTGTGCCCGAATCGGTAGTAAAAAAATTGGCAACCCACCACTGCCACATATGTGCATCTGGGAAGAGCCCCATGCATTCCTCCCCATCACTCAACTCAGACCCCGAAGACAGCTGCCTCTCCACCTGGGGGAGGACGGAAGGCCCCGACTCTACCTCTGAAGCTGTTTCCTTATCAGAGCCTTCCAAAGGCTCCAAAGCTAGCCCAGGCTCCCCCTCAACCTCCTCCTTGTCTGACTCTGCTGCTAGCTCTGCTGGCAGCTGACAGGACACAACAATGGCTTTAAACATAGGAACTAATAAAACTATACATATATATAGAACTATGCAAATGTAGTATTGGGGGGGGGGGTTCCACTTGTTTCAATCTCTTGCTTCTCTCCCCCAGTTTGGCCACACCACCTATTGCAGTAACAGAACTTGGAAGTTATCCGTGCGCCTGAAGTATTGAACCAGTTTCTATTCATTTAAAACAACACTTTCAAAAATAGAAGCATCTGACTGAAAGGATTTCAGATTCCATCTTGACGAAATTTGATTAGATTTCTCTTTAGCTTTACCTCTTATAGAAAATAAAACAACCCAATTCCAGTGAATGTGAGACGGACAAAACAATCTCATACTCTAAAACAGCTGAGCAAGTGCATTTCAGATCTTCATGCACAGTCTNAAAAAAACAACAATTTTGGTTGAACGAAAGGAGCAGTATGCAAATGTGTATCTAATTTGCTGTTATTTTAAGGTTGAAATATCAGGTATATAGAGGAAGCACCTGGGATGTAGCAATGGGCAAAAGAGGTAGGGAGAAAAACAGATGCAGAAGAGTGTAAACAGATATGGAGGGAAGATGTCTCATCTTCAAAGTGTGCTGTTGCAAGAATAAAAAAAAAAGAAGGTACAAATTAGGTCAGGATTGGGAGAGAGGCAGAGGGTGGGGAGTGGGGAGGAGAAGGCACTGAATTCACAAATGAGACAGATGGGACTTCGTATTCCTCCTCCTTTCCACTTCACTTCCATGTTGGGGTGAAGGAAGCCCTGGAGAACTTCCTTCAAAAGACCTTCACGGTATTCTTTTTGAAACGTGGCAAAGACAACTTTGGAGAATGGGGGTGCAAAGATGGTGGAGTGATGTCATTGGCGCTCACCGATACAGCCCACCAGCCTGGGTGGATTCTCCCACCCATGCAACCCCGCCAATCCTGTTCCTACTTCCCCCAAGGTGGCTCACTCAGGAATATTTCTGGGTGATGTAAACTCAAACGCAGGTTACCGTGTTTGGGGGAAAACAGCGGAGATTTAGAGCGAGCCGGGCATTCTGGCCGGGGGGCTACCAGCTGCACCGGACGGGCTTGCTTGTCCGCGAGCTTCCTGAAGCAAGCTTGCCGGTTCTCAAACATGCTGCGCACGTTCTCCAACTTGATCTGGACCATCTGTATCCGAGCCTGTGGATTTCCCCCAAAATAAGAATCTGATAAACAACAATCACAACTGTGTTTTACATTTCATCAGGCCCAGGTCCAAGGTAGACAAAGGCTGCTTGGACTCCGGCCTTTCCAGACTACTCGTAGTTGTTGATACTCGTAGGTGTTGATCAATGGGTGCTTTTCATCATTAGCTTTCTGCTGGTTCAAAGTACCGTATTTTTCGGAATATAAGACGCACCTTTCCCCCCTGATAAAAAAGGATGAAAATTTGGGTGTGTCTTATACACTGAATGTATTAAAAAAAATCTCCAAACTGGCCATAATGTTAGCTACAGGTTCTCCCGAACCTGGGCGAACCTATAGCAGCCTACCCCCAGATCTGAGATTCACAAATAGAATACAATACAATAGCAGAGTTGGAAAGGACCTTGGAGGTCTTCTAGTCCAACCGCCTTGCCTAGGCAGGAAACCCTACACAACTTCAGACAGATAGCTATCTAACATCTTCTTAAAAACTTCCAGTGTTGGAGAATTCACAACTTCTGGAGGCAAGTTGTTCCACTGGTTAATTGCTCCAACTGTCAGGAAATTTCTCCTCAGTTCTAAGTTGCTTTTCTCCTTGATTAGTTTCCACCCATTGCTTCTTGTCCTGCCTTCAGGTNCTAGTTAACTTTGTTCATACTGTTATTGCGAATTGGATTAAAATGGAAAAATGGATAAGAATTGAAGTACTAAAGAGCAGATGTATAAATAATATAATGAGGATTATATAAACTTGATAAATGTGATAGAGAGTATTTTGGTTTGCTAAGAGACAAAGCTAGCTGGCTTGATCTTCAGCCACCTCGTTCCATGAAAGCCCAACCTTCTCAAATCCATCCATTCTTTCTTCTACCAACCTAATCACTTTCCAACAATTAAACATCTACAATTGACTAAATGTTTGCCCACTTCAAAAGCTCCCTTTCAACCAATGGATGAAGATGGGGATGCCGTCAAATTTGATATCAAATCTGCTTTAAATCTGTTCCCAAAGTGATTTAAGATGAAAAAGAAAAGAATTATATGGTGGCTAAATGACTACGGAGATTCTCTATCACCCACGTCATGGTTGTCTCAAAGGTGCTTTTTCAAAAGGCAACTGGACTTTGTTTTTCCTTGAAGATGTTTCGCTTCTCATCTCAACAAGCTTCTTCAGTTGAAGTTCTTCAACTTCTTCAATTCAGTTCTTCAACTGAAGAAGCTTCTTGGATGAGAACCGAAACGTCTTCAAGAAAAAACAAAGTCCAGTTGCCTTTTGAAAAAGCACCTTTGGGTATGGTGGCCATCTCTCTTTATAGTTTACCTGGGAATATGGGGAAAGCAGTGGAGGATGGGCACAGAAGTAGAATAAGAACACTAGATTCATTTAATGGAGCAGTACGATTGAGAAGTTGCCTAGAGTTGTACGACCTCGTGCGTGTAAAAAGCTAATCAAATAAATACATACTCACCATCAACACTGTGAAAAGTTCCTCCACGTACACTCGTTCGGTTTGTATCAGTTCATGTATGACGTGGCTGGAATGAAACCAAACCAAAGAGCATCAAGAGATGGCTCCACAACTATTTCACAAATCAACAACAAAACAAGAAGAGAGGTCCTTGGTGCTCTCTGACTTTAGTCGCTGCAGTCACGTTTCATGATCCAAACTCTGTAACATCATCAGGGCTCGTCCTAATGAGATATGATCCCAGGGCCCAGCACAGATGGGTAATGAAACATCTGCAAGAAAACAACCAAGCTCACAGGGCCACAAGGACTCCACAATCATCATCATCTCCTCCTCCTCCTCCTCCTCCTCCTCCTCTCCCTTCCAGCACTGATGATGTTAGCTAGTTTGGGTCATAAAACATCTTCAGGAAAGCAATCAACCTCAGAGAGCACTAAGGACCCCGTACATCTTCCTCCTCTTCCTCCTCTCCCTTCTAATAATGATGATGTTACCTAGTTTGGATAATGAAACATCTGCAAGAAAGCAACCAAGCTCAGAAAGTACTAAGGGCCCCATAGTTCTCTCTGTCTCCTCCTCATCCTCCTCCTCCTCCTCCTCCTCCTCCTCCTCTCCCTTCTAGCACTGATCACATTACCTAGTTTGGATAATGAAACATCTGCAAGAAAGTAACCAAGCTCAGAAAGTACTAAAGACCCTCATTTCAGCCCTGAACTACAAATGTTCTCCTTTATTGGTAAAACATCTGAAGAACATCTGAATTCAGCTTTTGGTAGAAGCCATAAAAGACTTCAGCCTTCATGCTTATGGTCATATGGGTGGGTTTTCTTTTTTCTTATGGATCAAGAGTTTTCCAGCATCTTAACTAACACGACTCAAGGCCTTTGTTTAAAGTTTCGATTGGTTGATCAAGCTTTACTTTCAGATGAAACAAACTTGAAGGGAAGGAGATAAAGGTGGGATCTCCATGACTGTAATCCGTTCCAGGACTTCCGTTGGCACTTGATTTGATTGTGACCGGAAGCAAGATTGACGGCACACACAGGCACATACACACATACAATAAAGGCGTGGAAGGGGGAAATCGCTGCGGCTGTGTTTGATCGCCACCTGAGGGTGTGTTTGTTAACAGAGAGTGAAACATTTAGCGGATTTTTGGGTCGGTACCCGATTTGGTCGTGGTCAGAACCATTCGTGACCTGAGATCCCACCGTAAATGGAAAAGCCAGCACACCTTTTCAACATATCTAAGCTGTCTTCACTGTCTGTGATGTAGTACTGCAAGGAATTTCTTTTCTCTTGGTAATTGTGGACAACTTCAATCTGGAGAGGACAAGATAGAAACAGAGACAATTGAGCAACAGCTTGCTTTTAAGATGAACTTTGCGTTTATGCTCTCCAAGAATTTAAATCCTGCCCTTCAGGCAGTGTTTCTCAACCTTTACAATGTGTGGACTTCGACTCCCAGAATTCCCCAGCCGGCACAAAACTTTGTGGTGGCTTCCACCGGCTTTTAAATTGGTTGTTATACGTATATCGTACCTTGCGGGAATTTTGAGATTTCCTTGAAGTTTTCTTGCCCGGTAGAGAGATATCGAAGGAAAATTTCAAACTGGAATTGAAATCCACACCTTGGACATAAAGATAGGGATCATTTCTTGTTCAACTGCTCCCTGTTAGTCAATTCGGTCACAGCAGGAGGGCGGAGCAACCCCTCCCCCCTCCCAAGGGAATTTTTAAAAGGGAGGGGGGAAAGTCATCCGAAAGGAGGGTGATTTAGTTGGAGGTTGAAATTTAAAAAAAAGACAGACAAAAAAAAATTAAACAATTTGAAATGAGTGAAAGAATGAATATATGCATGGATATGGATAAACATGGATGTTTGATCTCTCTCTCTTTCTCCCCCCAGGAGTAATCAATCAACCAAACAATCAGTCAGTCAGTCCATCTATCCATCCATCCATCCATCTATCTCCATCCATCATCCATCCATCCATGCTTGTCTGTCTGTCTGTCCATCCATCCATCATCCATGTCTGTTTGTCTGTCCGTCCATCCCTCCATCCGTCCATTCATCCATTCATCCATCCATCTATCATCAATGTCTGTCTGTCTATCCGTCTATCCGTCCGTCCGTCCGTCCATCCATCCATCCATCCATCCATCCATCCATCCATCCATCCATCCATCCATCCATCCATCTCCATCCATCTATCATCCATCCATGCCTGTCTGTCTGCCCATCCATCTGTCCATCCATCCATCCATCCATTATCCATGTCTGTTTGTCTGTCCGTCCATCCCTCCATCCGTCCATTCATCCATTCATCCATCCATCTATCATCAATGTCTGTCTGTCTATCCGTCTATCCGTCCGTCCGTCCGTCCATCCATCCATCCATCCATCCATCCATCCATCCATCCATCCATCCATCCATCTCCATCCATCTATCATCCATCCATGCCTGTCTGTCTGCCCATCCATCTGTCCATCCATCCATCCATCCATTATCCATGTCTGTTTGTCTGTCCGAACATCCATCCGTCCATCCATTCATTCGTCCATCCATCTATCATCCATCCATGCCTGTCTGTCTGCCCATCCATCTGTCCATCCATCCATCCATCCATTATCCATGTCTGTTTGTCTGTCCGAACATCCATCCGTCCATCCATTCATTCGTCCATCCATCTATCATCAATGCCTGTCTGTCTGTCCGTCCATTCGTCTATTCGCCCATCCGTCCATCCATTCATTCGTCCATCCATCTATCATCAATGCCTGTCTGTCT